GTGCGTGCACTCTGTGTGTGATTTGGTGATATAGCCTACTTGATAATGTCAGATCGCACATCATTACAACACTTACCAAATTATCGCAGATGCTGTATATCGCACACCCCAAACTCGACTTGAATGGAAAATGAAATAATCCGCGGTTTTGCGCGCACTTGTTTGCACATGAGCAAAGGTGTTTTTAGGAGTCTAACTTGCAAACGCCAGATCTCTAATTCGTCAAACCTGCTTTCCTGCAGTCCGTGTTCTTCTGACTTCTGACTATTTTGTAGTAAGTAACGAATATGCTTCGGGGAAATGTATAGTAAAAGTATGCATTTTAATTAGGAAATGTAGTGGAGTAAAAGTAAAAGTTGGCTGAAATATAAAAACTCAAGTAAAGTACAGATACTCCCAAAAAATACTTAAGTACTGTAATGAAGTATTATTACTTGTTACATTACACCACTGCTTATGACATTGTCATGCAGTGCATGCTGGGATGGTTTCTATTGAAATATTAAGCAGCAAAAGCTGTTTTCAACATTAATAGTAGTAACAAATGTTTCTTGAGCACCAAATCAGCATATTATAATGATTTCTGATGGATCATGTGACACTGAATACTGGAGTAGTGGCTGCTGAAAATCCACCTTTGCACTACAGGAATAAATAAAATTTTAAAATATATTAAAATAGGAAACAGGTATTTTAAATTGTAATATTTCACATGTTACTTTATACTGTATTTTTGATCAAATAAATGCAGACTTGAGCGTAAGAGACATCTTTCAAAAACATCTTTTGTTCTCCAGTGTTTTTACTGCATATACAGATATTTGAAGTGTTCGCATTAATGTTTGTGTACTTGAGTTTGAGTATGTTTGTGCCCTAATGTGTGATAGATTGCTAAATCTACTTCCTCTGTGTGTATATGTATGTCTGTGTTCAGTGGACGGAGGTTGGAGCGAGTGGAGTAAATGGTCACCATGTGGAGCTGACTGCACCATGTGGAGGAGCAGGGAATGTACCCAACCTACACCAAGCACGGGTGGGAAAGAATGCCAGGGGCTGGATCTCCAATCTCTCAACTGCACCAGTGAGCAGTGCCCACAGAGTGAGTACCACCATCTCTGTCCATTGATTAATCAATCGATTAAAACACAGGCTTCCTTTATTGATCACTGAATGTGATGTGAAGCCTAGGATGCATCAGTGAGAGTCCCATTTACTAGTAGACAACAGGAGGGAAGAATCTGGGAAGGGCACCTTGGAGGTCTACATTAACACCACACTTTGTTTAGTATTTCAGGCAGGGTTTGTGTATCGTTGGGTCGTGTTTTTTTCACAGGAAGGTCACTTTTCCAGATCAGAGAATCTCGAGTTGTCCAAGGTCTTGATGTCCCCTGGGTTACGTTCCCTCTGTTTGTTTTCCAGCTTCTCTTTCCTCACACAACCTTTCCCATTCCTGTTGTTCTTCTGTTCTTTTAATGATTTTAAACCTCTCAGTCCTGCAGCTGCTGTTGCCATAGTACCACAGCAGCACTGACATGGGCGTCCTCGGGAGCGGCAGCGTTATTGCCATTCTTCCGATGATTGTTTTTGATATCAGAGCTTCTGGTGGCCGTTATCAACTGTTTCTGTGGGAAATGATTGGTTCAAACAAATGCCAGAGGGCAGACTATGGGGAAGTCGTAGCTTTGTGTGATTTCAGGATGGTTCTGTGTGACTTACTGGGGGCAGAAGAGCTTCTAGAGCAAATGGTTATGTGCTTTCAAAGCTTTACAGTCTTTATGTGCTAAAAGTGTTGCAACTAGAACAATCCTGCTTGAAATATGACTTTTATATCTTTCTATTTCTTAAAAAAAAAACTATCTAACTGACCCCAAAACATTTGAACAGTAGTGTATATACATAAATAAATTTAAATTAATAAATTTAAATAAATTAAAATAATTGTTACAAGTGCAAATAAATGGTGATATAGTTCAGCAATATTCTCTAGGGTGGCTTGGATTGTGATAAACAGTTTGAATTTGTTTTAGTACTTTCTTCTTCTTGCCTAAGATATTTTAAAAATTCCTATAAGTTGTATAGTACTGTATCAAATTGATTCAGTGTAAAGCAAAAATCACTTTTGAATCATATGTGTGAATGCACTGAAGAGAAGAAATTGTTGAATGAAGTCGTTATTTTTGTTTTCTTTGCGCACAAAAAGTATTCTTGTAGCTTCATAAAATTAAAATTTTAAACCACTGATGTCACATGGACTATTTTAACAATATCCTTACTACGTTTCTGGGCCTTGAACGTGGTAGTTGTGTTGCTGTCTATGCAGGGTCAGAAAGCTCTCGTATTTTCAAAAATGTCTTAATTTGTGTTCCGAAGATGAACGAAGGTCTTACAGGTTTGGAACGACATGAGGCTGAGTAATTAATGACAGAATTTTCATTTTGGGTGAACTATCCCTTTAACACATTAATTGTGTTCATAGTCAGTGTTGAAGTGTTTGCATTGACTTACTTGCATATGTTTGGCCATATCACAGTTGAATTATTCACCCTGTCTGTCATCCAAAGCGCTTTGTGTGATATCAGCAGTGAGGAACCGCAGTTTAAAGGCCTCCCATAGAGACAGCAGAACAACAGAAAAGAACTGCGCTTTTAATGTCTCGCCCTGTAATTTACCCACTGGTTATCATGAAATGTGGTGAGCCAAACACTTGTTCTTTATTAACAGTTAATTTGGGGCCGGTTCACTCCCAGCAGAAATCAGGGACTTTTCTCGGCAACTCGCTTCATGCGCTATTCCGTTTAATCTCGCTAGGCCTCGACTGTTGCTGATACGGATCGTCGACAGAAAGAGACAGAGATAAAGAGGGGCAGAATGTGAGCAAACACTCCCATTAATATGTGCAGAAGTAGAGGTCAAGAGTGAAGAGTTTGTATTCCCCATGCTGTGAGTCGATACAGTTCTAGAATCCTTAGCTTTTCTACTAAGGGCCACATGGAGGCATGTCCAATCATAGCATCATCTCAAACCTCCCCAGCATATCTGCAGCGTTGAGATTTTACGTGCAAAAAATGCCAATGTTGCAAACTGTAACAACAAAAGAAGGAAAATACTGAATATTGCAACCCACCAGCCGAGTCCAATGCCTAGTTATTATCATTAGATGTTTACGTTTCTCTGTTCTGGGAGATTATTAATTGGCCCATATTGCTCAAATTGAAAGCACAGAAGCTGGTACGATGGCAGCCATGGGGAAATTTGCTCAGCTGGGGTTCCGGCCAAGCAGATGGGCATCAAAGTGTTGTATTCGCTTCCTCTCGGATCAAAGTGTCAGGATTGGCATTTTTTTATTTCAGGGTTTTTCTGCACAGTTAACATACAGTAGTCCCCCTACAGGACTTTTTTTTTTTTTTTGCACTGGGGTCAAATGGGAGTCCTTCCCCTCGTTCTTTAGGTTTTTGCACCTTTCAGATTTTAATCTGAGCCCTCCCACACGTCATTTGCTAGCTCAAACTCTTTAAAGCCCACACTTACAGGCACACTGAATAGGCAAAAATCCTTTAAAATTGGAATGCGGGCCACAGAAAAATTCTTGTCCCAATCTGTTCTCAGCAGATGTCTCTCGCCAGACAATAGACCTGTTTTATACAGTAATGAGCAGAAAATCCTGCCTGCTTTGGCTACTCCGCTGCACAGGAAATGTTTTTTTTTTTTTTACCCTTCCTCTGAGGGTTTAATTAGTTGTTAGAGGCAACTCTTGTTGAAATAAAAGTAGCATTTAGTGTCCTCGTAATTCAAGGTGGAGATTAGCCCTTGAGCACCTGCTGTGTTAAAAGCACAGAAATCCAAAGCATCTGTGTGATTTGGCTGTTTACTCGAGGATGTGGTCGAGGAGGACAGGTTGCTACTCTGTTGATGTTCCTCATGCTTCCATCATGCGTGTGCCATAAATAGAATCACTGTTTTTGTTAGGTATGGCATGTTTCTAAATCAAAAGTGTCTCTTAAGTTGGTCCTTGAAAAGACATTCCCATAAGAAGTGATAGCTTTTCAAACAATCCTTGAGTTCTAATTGTTAGTATAATAATAATCTGTGATTTCATGTACAGTTTGGGATGGGATGCGCAAAAACATCTAAATCCGTTAATGCAGATGCACCAAGCAGCAGAACAAGAAATGCCGCTTTTTACCAGGGAATGAAAATATTTATATTGGATGTATCTGTTGGGGCAGAGTTTTTAATAATACATATTTTAGGTTATAAATATAATTTACACCAAAGCATGCTGTGATGTTCTTAAACTGGTTGATTTTTTGTTTGTTTCTTCTAACCGTAGGCCTATGTATATACAAGTACTTTATAATAACATTCAATTCACAACATATGTATGTATGTATATTAACCATATGTATACACAGTTTTAGCAATACTGACTTTATATTTTATGCAATTATCTATTTTATTTTAATTTTTTTAAATATTAAATACCAATAAATAGTTATATTTTTATATCATGAATTTGCCTACAAGAATGTTTTATACAAATGCATTGACAATACAAGTAATTTTTTATACCAACACAAGTATACCAATGTATTTTCAGTGAAAATAAAGATGCATAATAACTCATCTATTTTAATATGTCTAAAGACTAGCATTGAGCTTACGGCTAATTAGTTAAAAAATATATTTTTCCTGGAAGTACAAGTGTGTTGATTCAAAATCACAGTCACCAAATATTAGTTTATTAGAGGTGTCTATTGTTTGATTTTCACAATCGGCAGTGTTGGGGAGTAACTAGTTACATGTAACGGCATTACCTAATTTAATTACAAAATAAATGTAACTGTAATCAGTTACAGTTACAGTTACTAAGAAAAAATGTGTAATTAAATTACAGTTACTTATGAAAATGATAACGAGACACACGGCCCTATAATTTCCGCGATGCGGAAAACACTGACTGGTTCGTAGAATCCAGTCATAAAAACAGAATTCCTATAGCCTAACGTGGACGGAATATGCCACATTTTGGACGAATAAATCAAAAGTAGGTCAGTGCTCTTGAATCAAAATGCGATATGGAGTAGTGTCTGTGAATATTAAGCCGCGAAAAGACAATATATGAATCCTGCACGTTCTGCGTGTCTGTGGAAATCAGGCGCGGACTGGCCATCGGGAGAACCGGGACAATTCCCGGTGGCCTGGCAGCCGATTTGGCCCGCTATTTTAATATTATTATTGTATAATTACCTGCCGAATGTACTA